ATTTAAATATTCTTTGCTAATATGAAACAAGCTAAAAATATAAATCAAGTATGAAATGTATATTCATGGTCAAGTGCACCTCAGTACAATTTTGATTTTCTGTTCTTAGCTAGATTCAGTGTTTCCCTGTGAACACAGGAGCATGCTAGCCAGTGTAATGATAAGCCAGTGTTGTTGAGGGATTAAATGTAACTGTGGTGACTGTCCCTCATTCATTCCGCTGCTGTGATAAAACACTCTGACAAAGCAACTCGTGTCAGGAAGGGTGCATTTGGCTTACACTTCCAGCTCACAGTCCATTATTGAGGGGGTCAGGGCAGAAACTCAATCTGGAGCTTGAACAGGAATTTGGCTCTCTCTGGCTTCTATTCAGCTAGCTTTCTTACACAGCCGATACCTACCTGCTTAGGCATGGTACTACCAACAGTGGGCCCTCCCACACAAATAAGCAACCAAGACAATCTCTCTTAAACAACCACAGACCAATCTGATCCCAGCAGTCCCTTAGTTAAGACTCCTATGGATAATGCTAGTCTATGTCAATTTGGCAGCTGAAGCTAAGACACTGACTAATTAACTTATCAGTGCTTTCTTAAAGCTATTTACAATAAAGATTTGGGGTGATATTGTGTCCGCCAATATAGTGTGTACCGTAAGACACTTATCTGTGGTCAGAGAACAGAACAGCCGCTAGATAGACATACAGGCCAGAAAATGGTGGCAGACACACCTTTAATCCTAGCATTCCAGAGGCAGAGATCCATCCGGATCTCTGTGAGTTCAAAGCCACACTGGAAACAGCCAGGCATGGTGACACATGCCTTTAATCCCAGGAAGTGATGGCAGGAAGCAGAAAGGTATGTAAGGCATGAGGACCAGAAATAAGTTAGTTAAGCTTTTAGGCTTTTAGCAGCAGTTCAACTGAAATCCATTTGGATGAGGACTCAGAGGCCTCCAGTTTGAGGAAACAAGATCAGCTGAGGAACTGGCGAAGTGAGGTTAGCTGTGTCTTGTTCTGCTTCTCTGATTTTTCAGCGTTCACCCCAATACCTGGCTCCTGGGTCTGATTTTTATTAATAAGACCTTTTAAGATTCGTGTTACAAAGAGTTCCTCATTTCTTTACTATGGGCTGTTAACCATCTGGGTGGCTGTCATGGTGTCTTTCATCATCACCACAGACATGTGATTTATTTGTTCCACCTGGAAATGTCACCCAGTAGCTTCAGCTATTTTGGGTCCATGAAAATCATGTGCCAATTTTTGTTGTTTCTGTATGTGATGTTTGCCATGCTGTGATGCAGCCTGTGAGATGTGTCTCATGTGACCTCCCAACCTCCTACCTCCCAGCCACTCACTGCCATTTGTGCATTGTCTGAGAGCTTCAATACATTAAACCTCTCTTCCTGTTCTTGTGTCTTTGGCAGCCTTACAAGAGTGACTAAGTCACAACCAAGCAGTTCTAAGGCCTTCCACATTATGTCCCACCCATCCAGCTGTTTTGCTCTGGGGCCATTCTGAGTCCCAGGCGATTCTAACAGCCTTGCAGCATAATGGATATAAAACCAGAGTGTAAGTGCTTCCTTGGCTACTTCACATGTTGGTAGGGCAGATACCCTGACGGAAGTTACTTAAGGAAGAATGGGTTTATTTGGGCTCACAGTTTGGGGGCACAGTCCATCATGCCGAGAAGGCATGACAGCAGGAATGAGGCAGCTGGTCATCCTGCATCCAGAGTCAAGAAGCAGAGAGTCGAGGGTTATGTACAACTTGCCTTCCCCCTCTTGATTCAGTCCAAGACCCCACCGTTGAATGGAACTACCTTAATTAAACCAGTCTAGAAACCATCTCTCAGAAATGCTCAGGGACTTGCTCTTCAGGGATTGTATTTTCATTCTGTTCAGTTGACCATCAGTATTAACCATCACTAGTGCTCTCTTCCTCCTGAGGTACCCTAGAGAGGATCAGAAAGGAAACCCCCAACCCCCGCTCCCACTTTACTCCCATCAGATTGTTCTCCTCTCTGTGAAACATGAGATTACAGTTTTGTTATATTCAGTGTTCTGATATTTCCCTTCTATACTATTTCTACCCCGAATGTTTTGGGCAAGAATCTTGTTATTGAAAATACAATGCTCTTTTATTCTCCTTCAGCCTTTTCAAGAACTATTCCATAGCCAATATTTTCTGTGTGAAGCAGAGGATTAAAGGGGTTCTTTGAAAAATGAAAGGTGGTTAACAAAAAATGATGAGAATAAACTTACCATTAGCTGCTCACTTATAAAAATAGAAGTATCTTATAATACCTTTACATTGTCAATTTAATTCTTGCAAAATTCACAAATTAAAAAATGTCCCTATTAAAACTGTAAAGTGCTCACACTGAAAGAACTTGGATGATGCAGTAAACCAATCATATCTGTGTAAATAAGTTATCAACATTTTCCATGGGCAATTTTTTTATTGTTTTCAAGATTAATAAAGTATTTTTATGAAACCAATAAATTCCTTAATTGATATTAGACAGATCTAGACTTGAACAAAGATATTGGAACTTAAATTGACTTGCTACCGAAAGTGTGTATATGTTTATGTTCAGGCAAATGAACTACAGAGTGCTTCTGTGTGTTCACAGTGGATCTCTGAACTTAGGACTCTGTACTGTGATACAGCTTAGCAGAAGAACAAACGCAATGCTTCTTACATGCTATAATATTTATTTTTGAAAAGACAAAAAATAAAATTACATTTTGTTGTTGTTTAAAATATGTCAATAAAGAAGAAAATAAATAACCAATATACTGAATGAGTGGGAAAATATTTTCTTGATGTAGCAGTCAGGAAAACTACTTTGTGTAATTGGAAAATAGAAGGTTGTTGTTGTTTGCATGCTTTGTTTCCAGAAAGTTCCATATTATTATTGCTCAAAATTCTTTAAAATGTTTTTGCTAGGTCTTAGAAAATTTTGATGAGAAAAATGAAGGAAAATAAAAGTACAGAAAATAAATGTGAAGAATAAAGTGTTTTGTGCCTGTCCTATGATTGTAGATCTCAAAATCAAAGAAATTACTTAGAAAGCATACACAAATATCTGGCTAGAGAAAAATAAGCACTTCAAGTTTAAAAGTAGATGAAAGCATCATAATAATGTTTAGAAAGTAAAACAGAAGGAAAAGTAATAACCAGCTACAGGCCACTCATAGTAGAAAACATTTAAAAGTCTACATAACTTTAAAAAAATGTACATCTAGGCCCAATATATTATTAGTATGTTATATGACAAACGATGGAAGAACATGAGAGAAGATGCTCTGGTCAGGAGAATATGTTCTCCTCTAACATTGTACACTTAAGAGAAAGGAGGAGAGAAGATGGGGAGCTGATAGAGGAGACAGAGGAAAGAGAAAATGAGAAAAGAGGAGACAGAGGAGAGAGAAGACAGTGGACAGAGAGAAAAGAGATGCAAGGGTGAAGAGATCCTAGGGAATGTGGCTTTTCAAAGCAATGGAGAGGATGTGAGGGCGGTCTGGCTGCGGTATCTGTTACCCCATTGATCGCCAGGGTTGATTCGGCTGATCTGGCTGGCTAGGCGGGTGTCCCCTTCCTCCCTCACCACTCCATGTGCGTCCCTCCCGAAGCTGAGCGCTTGATCGAAGGGGATGACTTTCCCCGAATAGAGGAGGACCAGTCTTCGGTCAAGGGTATACGAGTAGCTGCGCTCCCCTGCTAGAACCTCCAAACAAGCTCTCAAAGCAATGGAGGAAGCCTGGTTGCTGTCTATGATGGTGAAGCAAATGAGAGGACAGTCACTATTCTCTTGTCTTGCACAGTAGGAGCAGTATTCCCAATTTTGTTTTTTACTATCTCCATCATAAATTATTTTGTGTTAATTTACTGAAAATATACATAGTAAAGAAAGCTAACATCCTGTAGTTATCCCAGACATCTACCATTAAAATGTACTTCTGTGCCTAGACATTGTAGACATGTATATGTAGAGGTGTGGTGATTGCATGCACACATGCATGGATATGCCATGTTGTGAAAAGACAGTAGTTGTTCACTTTTCACCTCGGGACAGGGTCTTTCTTGCTATAGCTGCCACAGTGTTTACTCCAGACTAGCTGGTTGGTGAAATTCTGGTTCATTCTTCTGCCCTGCCCCACCACCTATTCATAGTGGTGCTGGGATAACAGATGCCAGCTCTCTGTCTCATCCAGCTTGCTTTTTTGTTGCTGTTGTTTGTTTTGTTTTTAACAGGGTTTTTAGGAATCAAAGTTGGGTCATTGCGCCTGTATGGCTAGTGTTTTTGCCCCCTGAGCATCTCCTAGCCCTGGTATGCACAACTTTCTTATAGCAGAAATCATACTTCACAACCAATAGTAATTCTCGTACTTTACAATTAAAATTGCATTCATTTTCTATTTTACCATAAATATTTAATAATTGTCATGCTAACAGTTCCACAATGATGATTATTATTTGCTTCTCAAATCCGTAGGATATTTTGTATTATTTCTATCTTTTATCTTTATAGATTACAATTGTGGAACAACCCTATGCATATAAGCTCTTTGGTTACTGTGAATTTTAGAACTAGGAATCCCTGTAGGTGAACAAGGGTCTGTCTGGTTCCTTAACCTTTTTTATGGCTATGTCCTCTCTGTTACTATGCTCCAGATATACATAAAGATGTTGATTTTTTAAAATTTTCTCTTTTTTTTACCTTTCTAAATTACTGTTTTATTTAATATTAAAAAGTTTTAAAGAAGAAATGAAAATGCATTTGTAAAGTAAGCCTGTAAGAGGCAAGCAATTACCGATATTTTTATATGGGCTAATCAGTATTCTTTAAAAAGAGTAATCAAGTGGCATCTGTAATTACTAAAGCTGCTTGGCTTACACATACAATTAAATCTAAAGAATGTACTCACTTCTCTCACATTCCTGCTTCTTCAGAGCTTGTAACTAAGAGTTGATTTTTATTTTTTCCACGATGAAGCTCAGTTTTGGAGGAATTCCAGTGCCAAGCAAACCTGGGACCTTTCTAAAGAAAAACTTCCATGGCTGTATTGAAAACCTCTACTACAATGGAGTGAACATAATCGACTTGGCCAAAAGACGCAAACACCAAATCTACTCTGTGGTAAGTCCACTCTCTCTGTCACCTGGTGCTTTGTGGACTTGGCTAAGTCTTGCTTTGGTACTCTACCCCTCCACCTCTTCACACTGTGTGTGGTCAGTCCACTCTCTCTGTCACCTGGTGCTTTGTGGACTTGGCTAAGTCTTGCTTTGGTACTCTACCCCTGCACCTCTTCACACTGTGTGTGGTCAGTCCACTCTCTGTCACCTGGTGCTTTGTGGACTTGGCTAAGTCTTGCCTTGCTATTCTACCCCTCCACCTCTTCACACTGTGTGTGGTCAGTCCACTCTCTCTGTCACCTGGTGCTTTATGGACTTGGCTAAGTCTTGCCTTGCTATTCTACCCCCGCACCTCTTCACACTGTGTTTATCTTATGTATTTAGAATTTTCATCAGCCAAGGCTGGGTATGTAGTTCAGTTGGTAGAGTGTGTGCCTAGCATGCTTAAAACCCTGAGTTCCATCCCTGTGTCCACATAAAAACAGGTGTTTTACTTAATTTTCTAACTATGGCCTAACAAGAAACAGTTTAGAGTAGGAAGGCTTTTTCTGGTTCATAGCATGAGACAGTAGCTTTCATCATTGCAGAGAAAACACAGCAGTAGAAGTGGGAGACTGGCAAGTGACGCCTCATCAGCACTAAAGATAGACAGTGAACAGGAACCATGACTGGGTTTAAAACCTCAGGCGTTCTACCAGTGACCAACCTACAGCAAGGTCCCAACTCCTTAAGGTTCCAAAACCTTCGTAAACAGGCTCACCTTCTAGGTACTAAGTGTTCAAACAGGTGAGATTATAGAGAATATTTCATACCCAAACTACAGTTGGCATGGTAGTGTATACATGTAATCCCAGAATTTGGGAGGTGAAAGCAGGTAGATCAGAATTTTAAGTCACCCTCCATTACATAGCAACTCTGAGGTGAGTTTGCTACATGAGGTCCTGCCTCAAAAACTTAAAATGAAATAAAACAGTTATTGTCCTATTATCTGACTTGATATTGGAAAAGAGCCAGCTGAGAAAAAGGCACTGCAAATCATTTCATTGGTGAAGTCAAGTATAGACATGCAGAGAATACTGGTTTCTTGACTGTGTGGAAGATTTGAAATCTATGTAGGCTAATATGGATTTTATTTAAAAATTTCTAAGAAATGCAATGAAAGCATGGATCCCATTGAATTATGTAGCTAGGACATAGTGTGTGTACTTGTTAGTTATGTTAAGCAGGGCATTTTAAATGATACTGCAATGTTAGTGTCTTAGAGCTTCCTTGTGGATCACTTATAATCACAGTGGATAAAGTCTTCACTAATTTACCAAAGTCTATTTTCCTTATACACCTTGAATTTTATGAGGGGTTTTTAAAAACTTATCCTTGAATTTTCTTTCCTCTTTTCAATTCAATTGCTCTTACATCTCCCTGCACTCCCTTATAAATTTACAGCCTCTTTTTCTTTATTATTAAACACACGCACACACACACACTCGCTGCTGAGTCCATTTATTGCTGCTCATGTGCATATCTTTTGGGGCTGATTACTTGAGATTGGATAACCTATCAAGAGGCTCGTCCCTGGAGAAGACTTGTACTCCCCCTCTCAGCAGCCATTAACTTCCTTCAGCTCTTCCTCTACTGAGCTTTCCCCTATCCACACTGGCATGTCAAATGGTGTTGTCACTGTGCAGGTTTTACTTAGGCAGCTGTATTGTGGAGATGATGTGTGCAGCTTCCCTGAAAATATAGAAAACACTGTCATGCATCAGACATTCCAGGTATATATATTACTGCCCTATTCTCAATTCCTGGTAATGCCTTGAATATAATGGGGACTCAACAATAATGTGTGCGTTTCCAGATATAATTAAGAATTTATATATTTTGTCTAGTTCTCTGAATGTTTGGTGTTATGTCATGCTGAGTTCTGTTTAATACTATTTGATCGGGGTGAATGAGCCTGTTTGCCAAGTAAATAATAGCATTTCTTCCTCTAGTGATAACCTTGTTCTGAAGTCTACTTTACCTGACCATAATGTTGTCATGTGAGCTCTTTTCTGAAAGCTGCAGAGTCCTGCTTTTAGACAGGAGTCATCACTGAGCACATTTGTCACACTGACCCACTTAGAAATGGGTTTTTAACCTTGAAAATTACATTTTTTCTTCCGTTTAAAACAATAAAAATCATTCTAATATAATTTAATATATATAAAATCTGCACTGTTATACATAAAACTAAGATATATTTTTAAAATATATTGTCTTCTTTCTTCTTTATTCTTTCAAATCTCCTTTTATGCCATTTCTATTTAGATACTTTTTTAGCTATGCTTTTTAGCATATATATACATATATATATGAATATATGAATATATCAAATTATCATATCTTCTTTCATCTGGGAATATTATGATTGATTTCCTTGATACAAAACTGAGGGTTGTCAGCTCTTTTTATTTAGCATGTGGAAATTTTGACTCTCTTTCCTCTGTTCTCAGTGACAGATGCATTGTCTCAGTGACAAAAGCAACCAGGTTGCTTTTTCTCTGAGGGTGCTGTGTATTTTCTCTCTGGGTTATATCAAAGTTTGTCTTTGATGTTAGAAGTTAGAAGTTGGAGTGTGATGTGAATGGCTTTGGATTCTTTGGCATTTCCTGTTAGGCTTTTTCTCAGTTACTTTTTATATATAAGCTTTTACCCTATTTGGGCAACTTTCTGTCATTATATGTGGGCAGCTTTCTATCACTATATATTGAGGTGTATAGAGACCTTTTATTTACACAATCTATGGGCAAGGGTGGGAATATGTGTGTTTCTGGAAGAGGCAAAGAGGCAGCTAGAGAGTTGTGGCTTTTCCTCTTTAATGATGATATATGTTAAATTCTGTCACTAAACAGAATAGCTGGAAGTAAAATTCAATAAAGTAAGGAAAGATAATATGGGTTTCTAGATGTCAGCAATCTGATATTCTTTTCTCGATGAATCCTGAATCAAAAATTTAATAAATGTTTCCAATCTTTTTACTAACTACAGCATTTACCAGACTACCTAAAAGTTTTCAAGTCCAGTTAAGTCCTCAAGGCTTAATTGGCAGTATAGTTATTATAAGGCACAGAGAACCATTTAGCGCTAATGCATTTGGGAAAAAAAGGATTTAATCTAACAATACAATTTTACTGTGCAGGTAGAAAAATCTTAGCTTTCACCTTTACAACATTAAGAGAGAAACACACATTGTTTTTCTCCCAAATTGCTTTCATCTCCTTATCAAATGGGAACCCAGACAGACAGACAGACAGACAGACAGACACACACACACACACACACACACACACACACACACACACACACCCCTGGTATATTTCTTTGGCATTCCTTCAGAGATGTACTGGTTCACACTATTAAATACACAAGCACAGACACTTTAATTCCTGTAGTCAAGCTTAGTTTCTCCCAAAGACACCACAACTACCTCACATCAACTTTGTTCCAAGTCCCACAATCACTGTGGTGCTGTTAAGAATTCTAGAAAAACAAAGCTAGTTACTGTTTCCTGCGTGATTTTCATTTCCAGTGTTCATAGTTTTCTTGCCATCACTGAGCCTTCAAAAGGCTTCAGAAGTTCAGAGTTTATCATGAGATTAACAGAATCAAGAAAAAAAAAAAAGGCCAAGAGGGTTAGTTGATGCCCATAAATTACAAATTTTGACTCAAGGCTCAAGGAAATTCAGGCTTCCCTCTGCCTCATGGAACAGAAGCCTTTCTTGTAAGCTGTATTCAGACAGCATCCCCTTTGCAATTCATCATCCCTTTCTGATGGGACCTGCCTACTCCCTGGAGATTTAACAGCTGCTCCATGGGGATAATTCAATTTAGTCTTTATAGCCAGATTTGACTACAGGACGATCTTCTACATTTCAGAGTGCAGTAAAGCTAACAGCTTAAAGTAGACATAAAAAATACCTGGCTATTCTTCCCAAAATCCACCACCCTGTGCTAATACAGCTCCATATAATAAATAATCAGAAAGTAAATGGGCCATTGAGGTGTGTGTGTAGTAGCTGTAATGTGGATTATTATACACATAATACAGGAAGCATATTGCCTTGATAGCTCCCTGAGCATGATTAATATCAAGCTCTGTGCTCTATAAGAAATGATGCTTTCTTGTGACCTTTTGTGAGTGTGAGATTCCCCACACACATACAACTTTTGACGCAAGGAGAGTAACATGATTATTTGGTCATTAGCTGGCTCCCATTCTCTTCACGTAGGGATTCAAATGATCTTTTTTTATATATACCAACTTAAGAGCTCAGCTCTGAAGAGATAGTTAAGTCTATTAACTGTTTGATTTGTAAGCACAAGGACCTGAGGTTGATCATCAGAACCCACATGAGGAAAAAAAAAAAAAAGAAACCAACCAACCAAACAAACAAACAACAAAACAAAACAGTTAAAAATGGTGGAATAAGTCTGTAATTTCAGTGCTAGAGAGATGGAGCCAGGAAGATCCCTAGTCTGGTTGGTGAGTTTCAGGAGAGTGAGAGTGCTTTTCAAATAAAAAAGTGGACAGTACCTAAGAAGTGACACTCAAAATTGTGCTCTGGCCTACACATGCATGTAGATGCATTGTCATGCAGATCCACACACAACACAAAGGATTCATATTACTTTATTTGGTCTTTTATTAAGGCAGAGAAAAATGCCAATAGCTAAACAAGCCTGCAAGTTTCATACAATTAGCTACAAAGCCCATTGATCAAGTCATATCAGTTGTATGTGGCTGTCTCCAAGTAGCTGAAGTCAAAGCATTGGATTGACAGAGGCCAACACAAAACATATACCATGACCTCTCAGCCCCATGGCTAATGTTGCTGAAGGATTACAATGTTCCTTTCCATTTATTCTAGACAAGGTTTATTGGTCTCCTTACCAGAGTTCCCATAAGTAGCTCTCTTGGGGCTCTGGTCGGCAGTGTGAGTACAGAGGTTCCATGTATCTTTCAGC